AATGTAGGTGTCAATTGATCAGGTTTGGGTTAGAATTAATATAAATTAAAACAAATTTGAACAAATTAGATGATCCAAACATTGAATTGGACCGATCCAAAATGGTCCAAAATATTCATTGGATTGAATTGAACCTACCATTTACAATGGATTCACATTAGACTAGATAGGATTGGACCAAATCCAGTCCAATTGACACCCCTAGTTTCAGAGCCATACCAATACTTTTTTTTTTCTTTTTGAAACCATGTAGTGTGAAAGTGGTTGTTCTTTTCATGGTTATTTTTCTTTTGAACCAACGTTATGTAACAAATGTGAGCTTTGATTATATGATGTATGTGCACATGTGCTTTCATTGTCTACTTTTGATCATACAATCATCATCAAATGGAAACATTAGGATTGGAGTTCAGATATGCTCCTCACAGAGCACTCTTCACACCAACCTCACATCATGTATTGGACTGCTTTGTGAGAGCAGATCCCAATTCTTAGGATTGTAGCCATAGGAACAGGATCTACTCTTCACACTTGGGCACCTCATATGCACATCCACCGTGCATTGGGAACATCTCCCATGAATAATAACTTATAAGTAAGGAGATGTTCCCAATGCATGATAGGATGTAGGTGTGAGGCGCCTTATGTGAGGAGCAGATCCGGTATTGTAGCCATACTGGTTTTATGATTGCCACGTCATGCTGAAACATGTTTCTCGGATAATAAAAAAAAAGCTATAAAAGTTGTACTGAAAATGCCATTTTGTTTCTACCGGAAACATGGATTGCTGGTTCTAGATGAGACACAAACACAACCATGAATCAAGCAGTAAGCACCCTTAATGTAATCAATGACCAAATTGAATTCAAAATTTTGTTGACAATACATCCACACAGTGTGAAGCATACCATATAGTGCGGTGTGATTCAAAGTTTCAAACCACTACAGTATTGAACTTGATTCTGGTATTTTCGCAAGGTTCAAAGTAAAAGTATCTACATCAGCCTATATCGGCCGATATGTATCACTTCGGGAGCTCCCCGATATGCCCCTATAGAGGGTGTATCAGGGTTTTGACCGATTAAGGGGTGGAGGCAAGGTTCAAAATATCGATACGCCTGTATGGGCGTATCGGGCGAATTGATACTCCTTTTGGTGGCTTTTTATATTTTATTTTTTTGCCAACTGGTTAAGGGGAGCCGGTTTAGGTCTTCACCACACCCTGAACCAGTCAGACCATCGATACACCCACTGTAGGGGCGTATCGGTGGGGTGCCAGAACGATACGTATCTACCGATACGTTTCGATACTTTGAACCTTGGGTGGAGGAGCCTTAAACCAGTCCCCCTTGAATCAGTTTAAAAAAAATAAATAAAAAAAAGTAAAAAAAGAAGTATCGATATATCAATATTTTGAACCTTGTATTTTCGGCCATATTAATTAGAGACATAGAAGTATTATGAGTAGATTCCGGATTCAGTCCTCACAAAACTGTGTCCACGCCATGCCCACAACCTTTTGAAGATAAGTATTGGAAACATCTCCCCATAAATGAAAATTTAAGTAAAGAGATGTTCCAAATGACGAGCTGTAAGTGTTGTGGGGACGGTACAAGAACAATTTTTGTGATGACTGAATCCGATTTCCTATGAGTAAAATGTTAACCATTAGACAAAATGGGTCATTGGGCTAAATGGGATTTATTCCTCATAGAGCACACCTCATAGACCCATCCCATAATGTATGAATAACAACACAAAATACGAGAGATATTCCAAATGTACGATAAGAACGTATTGTAAGGAATGCACTGGACTCTTATTGGGCTTTACAACACCGGTTGAATTTGAGACAGATCCAAATTATTATTATTATTCAAATTTACACTCAATATATCACGTGAAAAATAATAAGTTAAACTAGAAATTGACTACCAGACCATTGTCAAAGTGAGCTTGAAATGACATTGAGAATTTTGTAAAAAAAAAAAAAAACGAAATTTGAGAATTTTGTAAGAGTTGCTTTTAAAAACTTTACAACCTATAATCTAATACACTTTTAAATCACAAAGTATAAATTGGGACTTTATGCCTTTGGTATTTAAAAGTACAAATCTTCCATCTTTCCCAAACACAACCTTAAATTCGTGATGTAGACAGCAGATATACATGGAGTTAATTAGTGTACTTTTGGCTTGGACACGCTTTCCTCGAGCCAATAACAGGATGTAGGAAGCTGTCCGGCCCATCATTGGGCCCACAATTACATCACCATGTAATGATCAAATACATTGAAAACCAACCATACCACGAGATTGGTTCCTATATCTGATGAATTTCCACGTCATCTCCATTTGGACCTATTTGTGAATACTAGATTGCAGGCCCATGACAAATTCAGTCTAGCCCATTGGGCCAGTATACCGATTAAAAACCACAAATAAGATGTACTTTACAACATATTTACAATAATTCGAATGCTTTAAAGGGTGTTTAGCGGGCTGTGAACCAGTGATGACCCATCACACCATAGTGCATATAGTTGCTGGTCCAATTCGAACCGGTCCAATATGAATCTACTATAGATGGATTAGGTTCTAGGTCCAATCCAGTTCGATTAATATTTTGGACAGTTTTGGATCAGTTCAAATCAATGTTTTAGACTGTCTAACCTATTCTAAACTGGTTTTAATTTAGATTGGTTCCAACTCTAACTTGGTCTATTGAGACCTGTAGTCTTACCTTTTATCAATGGACTAGATATTGATTTAATCCAATCTAATCCAATATATGCATCAGGTCCAATCCAATCCAATAAATTCTTTCGGCCATTAAGTCTGGACTGGTCCAATTTAATATATCTCATTAATCCGTTTAATCCATTCGAACAGAGATGACGTAGAAATTCACCAGATATATGGACCAGTCTCGTAGTATGGTTTATTTACAAAGTATTTGATCATTACATGGTGATGGAATTGTGGGCCCAACAATAGGGCTGAAAGCTTCTTATATCCTGTAATTGGTTCAAGGGAAACATGCCCAAACTTCTTACAATAGTGTGAATCCATGCATTTTAATTTTTTATGACTACTGTGAGGCATTGTCATTGGTTCCATAGATAGCCAATGTATTCAATTAATCTGATCTATACTCAGAACTAATCCTTTAAATATATTGAATGAGATATGGGATCTCCTACCAATTTGATCTAACACCGCACACCTCATCATAAAAGTGGGACCTGTCACGTATGAGATGTGTGGTGTCAGATGATGTTGATAGGCTGTTGGAATGTATTTTGTTGGCAGTTGATTTGGATTCATTCAATGATGGGTTTATAGTAGTGGGTGCTTATGACAATTTAAGCGCTTTTTGGTACCGAGGCTTTGCCGTGCCCGTTTCGAGTTCATGTAAGCACCACATAAGATATTATGCTTCAACTGTCAAAAAACCATTTTCAGTAAAAAACAAGCAGAATCGGAAATGCCTAGGAATCCGCATAACTCACAACCGCTCGCAAAACCAAAAAAATGTTTTTTGAGCAAGAGGCTAGTGTTTTTTGCAATGATGATGTAACGTGGCAGCAACATTGCCCATATGACCTTTCTAACATAAATGGAACAATTGCATGCTATCCTACATGGCAGCAACATTGCCAAACCGTTTCATGGCTATTTCTAGTGAGGTATTGCACTGCTGTTTCCAGTAGAAAATACCAAACTGAAAACAGCCACGATACCAAATATCTACTTAGTCGGTATTTATGGATGAATTGGATGGGCCTTTTTCAGTGTCTTCCACAAATGAATAAACCTGGGCCAAATATGGGCTAGGCATGTAAAGGCCCGTCATGTCCCAGTTATATTAGCATCCTAAGGTGAATCATGAATCTGAGTTCTGGACGTATAATTGTTTGTAGATTGATGGACCGTAAGTCCAACCTACCACCCCAGAGACCTAGGGTCGGAAATAAAATCTGTGGCCAAGTTTTTTGGCCCAATGGGCCCCCGTTGGTTCAGCCCAATAAACCCCTACAAACCTTTGATATTTGGGAGAAAGATGGTTCGGTTCAGGGTTAGAATTTGTAAGCTTAAAGTACATTTGGGGTAGGTGTTAATTTGGAATTGATGTCAAATCATGGGTGGATACACAGGGAGATTGGATCTGCTCCTCACACGCACATTCTACCATGCAGTAGGAACATCTCCTGTATTTATTAGTTATTATTTATGGGAGATGTTCCCAATGCACGGTGAATGTACTGTGAGGCGCCCACTTGCGAGAAGGTATGGATGCATAAAGTGTAGGTTTTTGACATTTTAAATATTTATAGCTGTTCAGTGGAAATCAGAAATCTGCATTGAACCTGTCCGTACTTATTCATTGATATTTCTCAAACTTCTACGAGCAGGAGATGGACTAATGGGGCCGTGGTGGAAGCCTTGAGAAATCTGAGAAGGCAAATAGGAAAATTTTAACGTCCGTTAAGATTCCGTTCCTTCGACAGAAGAAGGCCTAGGGGAAATTATAACGTCCGTTAAACATCCGTCACCTCCCTCACATCAAACTTGATTTGCTAAACTCGGCGGCGGGAAGGGTGTAGCCTAAAATTGGATTTTATTTTATTTTTAAAGAAAAACCAAAAGCTTAGGAGAAAAGAAAAATGGGATCAAATTGGCACCCGCCAGGATCATCGGTAACGATTTAGTGTAACCGGTCATACTATATAAATAGTCTGATCCTTATTCTTACCGCTTATTGGATATAGTTTGAAAACAATTTTAAGCGCCTTAACAATGGGACCAATCAATTGCCAAAACGACAGGGATCGCAAGGTTTCCGCAACGAGACAGCTCCTGTAGATCATAACCCTCATTCTTTTTTCCTTTACTTTATTAACGGAGAGCTTCGGTTTCCAAGCCAGTTAGCTTCGAATTACGAACCTAAGGTTTGTTCCGAACCTATGTATTGTTTCCCAGTTCGTTGAAAAAATTTCGCATTATTTCGATCACTTTATCTTTGCCCTGGTCTGAAAAACCCCGTTCTCGCAGAGATCGAAAAAGAAGAGGTTCATTTCTTCGTCGACGGAAACCCTAAAAACAGTAAAATCGAAAGAAATTACAAAGGTTGGATTTCGATCGCTATTAGAGGACCTTCAGCAACCAAGTAAGTAAACATCTAGCCATACAGAAACCCTAATTATCTCCATCATATCACCATTTCGCGACCTAGGACGATTGCTCCCTGGGGTTTTGGTTTCTCACTTGGGTGGAATCTATACTTAAGCTCGTGGTGTTTATCTATCTCTTTTCTTGTCTCAATCTTGAATTAGAGTCCGAATTATGTGCGCCCTCTTCGATCCTACCGGAATTGGTTTAGAAGCGACAGAGTCTCAGTACACAGCTACGCGCTTTGAATATTTTGGTTTTGTGCTTTTCCTGTTAGCCTTTTAGGGGTTCTTTAATTTGAAGCCCTTTTGTGAGTAGAGTCTGGATTTGGGTAACGGGAATTGGGTCGTACAGGAGTTCTCTGTACAGGAAATGGACAGATGACGCTTTCTTATGTTCTTGCTCGGGTGAGAGACAGGTAGGGAAGCATTTCGTTGTACTTGATTCTTGCCTTTGTGCCCTATATTTTGGAGAGCAAAAAATTCCTGTTTAATTGTGTACATTTCATCTGTACC